ACTCAATGCATGTTTTAACAATTTTAAGGTATCAATTGGCAGCATCTAAATGCCTTAATAATCCTTAAATGGGCAACTTATTTTATTACATTTACACAAATAAGGGATGATCTGGAGTGACTTGGCATTGTTCTGAACAAGGATGTTTTTTGTTCATCAGTAGAATATAGTTCATTCCTTTGCTGTTTAATCCCTAAAAAGAGACAAATGCCCCAGTAGACTAAAATATTCATTTCAAAGGTCCAATAAATTGTCATGTTAATTATTTTCAGTCAAATATAAGAAGACTAACATCTTTTAATTGTAAAGGCTGCAAAACCGGGGTTTAGAGTAACTTTTGGTCATTAGAAGTTCGAGTTAACCAGCGGTGATAACGATGATAAGTGATCTGCACTTGTATAGCGCCTTTCAGAGTCAGAGGACTCCAAAGCACTTTACACTACAGTGTATCATTCATCCATTCACAGACACACACACACACACACACACACACACACACACACACACACACACACACACACACACACACACACACACACTGGTGGTGATGAGCTACACTGTAGCCACAGCTGCCCTGCATGAGGCCCGCTGGCAGAAGCGAGTCTACAGGTTTATTTTTTTTAAATTGGTGGATGAAACCGCCTTGCTGAGCGTTATATAAGTCACATCAGTCAGACTCTGTCTTCACTGGAAACATTTAAGTCTTCAAACATCACATTGGGCATAATTATGTCTGTTCCACCCAAAGCCGAGTGGACTGAGCGGAGAGGTTTGCCCAAACCATGGCTCAGAGTAGCATGCCTAATAACATGGGCATGATGAAGGGCTGTGCTCAAACATCAAAAGCAATTGTCTAATTTTTGGCCAGTGGGATGTGACAAATCTGTAATTAAAATAGCTTGCTGGCTGATAAAACAAAAGCACTTGCTGGGAGACAGCCGATCTGACGAGATACAGATCTGTCATTAGGCTAAAGAATTGTCCTTTGCCTTCTCTGATTTTATCTGACTAATGCGGCAACATTTTGTCAGGATTTGCCCTTTTTTCAGCATTCTTAGCTAAAAACAAAAGGCCAATCTCAACGCGCGTCCTCATCGGTCGCGGCTCCCAGCAAAACGTCGAAGCCAGCAGCTCAGTGAGGAGAGCAGCCAACGGCGTGGAGGCACTTTGTATTTTATAATTGGCTTCAGAGTAACACTGATGCTGTCCTCTGAAGCCTGCACACAGCAGCCTGTGTCGAGGTTGCCAGTTCAACAAGAGGGCGACTATAATCGTTTTATAATGTTTTTTTTCTTCCTAATTACTGACTTCAGGTTCCAGTCTTAGCCGCCAAAACGCTGCATGCTTTGTTTTATGTGTTTATTATAGGCAGCTGTTTGGATGAGGCTGCTTCAAACTGCTACTTCAAAAGCTGATGTCAGAAAACACACACACACACACACACACACACACACACACACACACACACACACACACACACACACACACACACACACACACACACACACACACACACACACACACACACACAGAATCTGTGTGAGCTAGCTGCATGCTACTCCCTCAGATAAAAAGCTTTCAAGTAAATGAATGAATACATTACGGATTGGCGGTTAAGCACCGATACATGTCGAGTGAGTGTTGCACAGCAATCACGCAGGGCAAGGCCAGCAGGACACCGACGACCTAAAGGGCACCCATGGGACCCTGACACATCAAATCACAGAGGAGGAGGAGGGATGTAAGGTGACGTAACAGCAGATTCCTCATACCTACGAGCCACACCAACAGCACGCCCACATCCAGATTCGTTTTCGCTGGCGCACACCCACACACACACTGCAGATTCACACACGGATACACAGAGAAATTTCCCATCCCTGTGTGCGTGTCCTGAGGGTAAAGAAGGCATTCATTTTCAGTGAATGATCGGCAGAGGCAGAAGGCGTTCAGATCTACTTTGTTTTCCTAGCCAATGGCAGAAAGCAGTGGCTATTGTGACCTTGTGATGAATTCAGCGTTCATTTCACAAGGTTTATTTTTTAATGCATGCACATCCAATTAAATCTGTAGAAAGAGAAAGTACACGGCATACTGGGAGGAAGAACAGTTGGTAAATCCTATGTCGAGACTGTGAAAGTGCAAACGCGTGGTCTGACTTCCAATTCCAGGTGCACATTTGTACCTGCTGTCATTTATTCATTAGTTTGCGATCGGATCTCCTGTCCGAGGCATGAGATGTTATTAATCAGTACATGGCTGGACATTAAAAATTCATACTATTCATAATACATAAGCCCTGTCATTTTATTTATCACATCTAAATGGGATTTCCTCTCATCTCATTGGCTCTGGCGCAGGAGTCAACTCCCGTTATCCTGACCAGCAGCCATTTTGAGACTGAGCCAGAGAGAGGTGTGCGTGATACAGCTTCCTGTATCGTTCGGACTGAAGGAAAGAGCAATTTCTTAAACTCTGTGCTGTTAAGTGTCATGTACCATTTAAGCAGGAGAGGCCAAGCTGCAGGTAGCTGCTAGAACACTTGTTTTCTGCAGCCCGGGTAATTGTGAGTAATTAGGCCTTAAAGTGGTCTCGTCTTTCCCCAACTAGGAACATGAGTCCCAAGGGGGGAGGAGTGATATGGAGGGAGGGAGGTTTCAACTATCTCAGCACCAGCAGCACAATAATGACCGCTGCTCTTGCCTGAATGCAAAAGCAGCCTTGTGTATGTAAAGTTTGTTCTACAAGATGCTAACACCATACAATAACTGAGTCTGCAGCTGATATTAAATCAGATGTTTGCCCCGAGGGCTGCAGCACTTTGCAAAGATTTGCACATCTCATTACAATCAATATGCAGTGGTTAGAAAAGGCTCATGAAGATGCTGCCGTTGAACACAACATCAGACGGCAGCTGAGCTAGAATAAACGATTCTTTCACACCAGGCTTTGGTGTTCAGCGCGACCAGAACGCTAGTGTTGAGCACTCAGAGCCAGAACCCGATCAGAACCAACCTGCACACATGCTACGACCTGTCCAAACGAAACAGCCAAAGCTTTCACCTTTACACTCCGACTCCCTCTGGGACCAAACACCGCAGAAGAACACCAGACATGCTCCGTGTTATGACAGCGACATGAAACATTCATTCAGTATGAGAATGAGTCGCCGCTGCTGCTGGTTTTGTTTCTGTAGCTTTCAGAAAGCAGCCTTTCTCTTTGATCTGAACTATCTTTGTTTCCTTCCAACAGGTCCATCATCCATGGTCCTACTGCTGCTGGGTGTTCATGTGCTCTAAACCAGTATCTCACTGGATGGTGACTGTTGGTGACAGACTGTCAACAGGATACATAGGAAGGGTCTCTATTTCCCAACTGGGTCGCATATCACTGGGATTTTGAACCTTCATACACCCACCCACCCACCCATCCGTCCGTCCGTCCGTCCGTCCATCCACCCATCCATCCATCCATCCATCCATCCGTCCGTCCGTCCGTCCGTCCATCCACCCATCCATCCATCCATCCATCCATCCATCCATCCATCCATCCACCCATCCATCCATCCATCCATCCATCCATCCATCCATCCATCCATCCATCCATCCATCCATCTACCCACCCACCTACTCATCCATCCGTCCATCCATCCATCCATCCATCCATCCATCCATCCATCCATCCATCCATCCATTCACCCACCCACCCACCCATACATCCACCCATCCATCCATCCATCCATCTATCCATCCATCCATCCATCCATCCACCCACCCACCTACTCATCCATCTGTCCGTCCATCCATCCATCCATCCATCCATCCATCTACCCATCCATCCATCCATCCATCCATTCACCCACCCACCCATCCATCCATCCATCCATCCATCCATCCATCCATCCATCTACCCATCCATCCATCCATCCATCCATCCATCCATCCATTCACCCACCCACCCATCCATCCACCCATCCATCCATCCATCCATCCACCCATCCAACCATCCATTCACCCACCCACCCACCCATCCATCCACCCATCCATCCATCCATCCATCCATCCATCCATCCATCCATCCATCCATCCACCCACCCACCTACTCATCCATCCATCCGTCCGTCCATCCATCCATCCATCCATCCATCTACCCATCCATCCATCCATCCATCCATCCATCCATCCATCCATCCATCCATCCACCCACCCACCTACTCATCCATCCATCCGTCCGTCCATCCATCCATCCATCCATCCATCCATCTACCCATCCATCCATCCATCCATCCATTCACCCACCCACCCACCCACCCATCCACCCATCCATCCATCCATCCATCCATCCATCCATCCACCCACCCACCTACTCATCCATCCGTCCGTCCATCCATCCATCCATCCATCCATCCATCCATCCATCTACCCATCCATCCATCCATCCATCCATCCATCCATCCATCCATTCACCCACCCACCCATCCATCCACCCATCCATCCATCCATCCATCCATCCACCCACCCACCCACCCCCTCATCCACCCATCCATCCATCCATCCATCCATCCATCCATCCATCCATCCACCCACCCACCCCCTCATCCATCCATCCATCCATCCATCCATCCACCCACCCCATCATCCATCCATCCATCCATCCATCCACCCACTCATCCATCCATCCATCCATCCATCCATCCATCCATCCATCCATCCATCCATCCATCCATCCACCCACCCACCCACCCACCCACTCATCCATCCATCCATCCATCCATCCATCCATCCATCCACCCACCCACCCCCTCATCCATCCATCCATCCATCCACCCACCCCATCATCCATCCATCCATCCATCCATCCACCCACTCATCCATCCATCCATCCATCCATCCACCCACCCACCCACCCACCCACTCATCCATCCATCCATCCATCCATCCATCCATCCATCCATCCATCCATCCATCCATCCATCCATCCATCCATCCATCCACTTTCTTTCACTTGTTTGAGATGGAACTGTGGTGATAGTAGATCCAGAAGTGAATCCATGACATCCCTCTTCCCAGATCCACTCTTGCTTCTCTTGGGAACTCCCAGAACACTCACAGGTCACAGGATACATAATCCTTCAACGGGTCATGGGTCTGGCCCGTTGTTTTCTCCCACTGGGATCTGCCCATAAAAACCCCAAAAGGGAGCCAGCAGGAAGTGTTCTAGTCCAACGGTCAAACCTCGAGTGACTAAGGGACGGAGCTCCTTCTTTTATCTCCATGGTTGAGCCTGACTACCCAATGAAGGGAGCTGATTTTAGGTGCTAGTGTCGGGGATCTTCATCTTTGATCATGCACTAAATCCTACGCGGTGTCATATTTCTTTCACTTTCTGACACATTTTACTTCTGGATTCCCAATGCTTCTTTAAATATTTTGAGAGAACAATATTTCTGCAAATCTTCTGAACATGTTGAGAATTCTGGTTTGTTTTGGCTCACAGTCCTGTTTGGTGTCAGAATCAGAACAGGAGAGAAGTCGGTCTATCACTAGGCTTGGATTGTGATTGAAGGAATGAGGTCTCAGCTGTAAGTGGCTAAAGTGAGCTTCCTCTGTCCGGCAGCCAAGCACATTCTTGGAGGGAAGGTAAAAGGTCGATGAACAAATAGCAAATAAAATTAAGGTACGTTCAGAGCAAACTGGGGCACATTTAGGACAGTTTGTGAATAAGCAGTGAGAACGCTTGCTTGATTGTTACTTGATTTTAGCTATTTGTTCGAGTCAGATCATTTGCCCAACAAGTCCTATGTAAAACGTGTAAATGTATGTACAAACATGTTATAATTCCACCTAAAAATCTCTAATTTTACCACAATCTGTGTCTAAACTGGTCGTTAACCATCAAAGTCCAGTGAGATCTTCCCTTTGGATGGTATGGTAGCTTACCCAGCATGCATCAGCATCACATAAGCTCAGCAGGGTCTGAAGGTGACACTGTCGCTCGCAGCACAGGCGTTCTCTACATCAAAACAACGTTCACCTCACGCTAGCAGACAGGACTTACAGGTGGTTGGCTTGTTGCAGTTGTGTCCATGTCTGAAGTACTGAGGATTCTCCACCACGGGTATACGAGTCATCCCTATCACAACCGCATCAGGACCCGCATCCAGAGCACACGGCGTGATAATCCCGTGGTTAACGTGATGAAGAGGGCTAGCGGAGTCTTCCTCACCACTGATCACAGCTACAGGACCTGTGAGATGAAAGGGAAACTTGGACTTACTTTGCAGGTTAAAGGTTATTCCTGTTGGATATTTCTACTGGCAGTGCATGAAGGGCTGCAGACCATAGAAACAAGTATCATACAACACATGAAGCTACTGAGAACATTCTAGTATCAGTGTTAATATTGTATTGATTATCATTTATTTCCTTTAACCTTCTTATTATGTTACGGGTCAATTTGACCCGTTCCAGTTTTTGTGTTGACCATAGCGCTGATCATCTTCTATTTTTCTTAATGAAACTTTATGACTTTTTCTTATCTGGGGTCATGAACTGGTATGAGAAATATGGACACTTTGATGTGTCCTGGGAAGTCTTAGCAGTTTTTGTATACAAAAATGATGTTGCGGGTCATTTTGACCCACACACTTTAATGTGAGTAAAAAGCTGTTCAGAACAAAAATAAACATGACTCTTTGATGTGCTATGTTGTGATTGCTTCTGAATATACATTCACACCCAGAGGCCCAGGTGTGTGCGCGAGAAACTTTTTCTGCCCTGTTCTTGTAACTGATGTCATGTGATTTCAACACACCAAAAATGAGCTCTAGAAGGTTGACAGCTGAAGAAGCTTTATCTCAGCTTTTTAACTGGGATAGCAATGACGAAGAAGATGTTTCAGAGACAGAGGATTTTTCAGAGGCTGAGGACAATGTTACTGATGATCCAGACTACCAATTTTCTGATGAGGATTCTAAAGAGGAGTCTTCTGTCATCGCTTCATCAAGTGAAAACCAAGGAATGCAGCAATCATCATCTACAGAGGGGGCATGGACATCTAAAGATGGTAAAATAAAATGGTCAACATCACCACACCGAAGTCGAGGCAGACTGTCATCTGCTAATGTCATCAAAATGACACCTGGTCCTACAAGATTTGCAGTCACACGAGTTGATAATATCATTTCAGCATTTCATCTCTTCATACCCTCTCCAATAGAAAAGATTATACTGGACATGACTAACTTGGAGGGGAGGCGTGTATTTCAACAGAAATGGAAGCCCATGGATCTGACTGACTTGCATGCTTATATTGGAATCCTGGTATTAGCTGGAGTATACAGGTCAAAGGGAGAAGCAAATGCAAGTCTATGGAATGAAGAGAATGGAAGGCCGATCTTTCGTGCAACAATGTCTCTTGAGACATTTCACAAGATATCTCGTGTGATCCGATTTGACAACCGTGAAACCAGAGCCAGTCGCTGTGAAAGAGACAAACTTGCTGCAATCAGAGATGTTTGGGATAAATGGGTGGAGATTCTACCTTTGTTGTACAACCCTGGTCCCCATGTGACTGTAGATGAGCGCCTTGTTCCATTCAGGGGCCGCTGTCCTTTCCGACAGTATATGCCCAACAAGCCGGCCAAGTATGGCATCAAAATATGGGCAGCTTGTGATGCTAAATCTAGCTATGCATGGAATATGCAGGTGTACACCGGAAAGCTACCTGGAGAGGCATCTGAGAAGAATCAGGGGATGCGTGTGGTGCTGCAGATGAGTGAAGGGCTGCAAGGGCATAACATCACCTGTGACAACTTCTTTACATCATACTGGCTTGGAGATGAACTTCAGAAAAGAAAGCTCACTATGTTGGGAACAATCAGGAAAAATAAACCAGAACTTCCCAGTGAAATTCTGAAGATGCAGGGAAGACCTCCACATTCCTCAAAATTTGTTTTCACCGAGAAAGCAACAGTTGTTTCATACTGCCCAAAGAAAAACAAAAATGTTCTTGTCATGAGCACAATGCACACAGATGCATCTCTGAGCACAAGAGAAGACAAAAAACCACAAATGATCCTGGACTACAACTCCACCAAAGGAGGAGTAGACAATCTTGACAAAGTCACAGCAACATACAGCTGCCAGCGCAAAACAGCTCGTTGGCCCTTGGTGATTTTCTACAACATTGTGGATGTGTCAGCTTACAGTGCCTTTGTCCTGTGGACTGAAATCAACCAACATTGGAATGTCGGCAAACTGTACCGACGTCGGCTTTTCCTGGAAGAACTGGGAAAAAGTCTTGTCACCCCCGAGATCCAGAGGCGAGCCAGACCAGCTCGATCCCCAGCAGCAGCAGCTCTCATTGAAAACGTCAGGTCTGCATCATCGGACCAATGTACAATGAATCCAGTGGATACAGGTGCAAAGAAACGAAAAAGATGCCAGGTCTGTCCCTCACGATAAGACATTAAAACAAGCACCGTTTGTGAGAAGTGCAAGAAGTGCATTTGCAGAAAGCACACAGTTACACTCTGTCCATCATGTGGACAACACTGAAAATGTTGAACATTGAAAATCTGAGAAAAATAAAAGTGTTTGTAAAGAAGGAAAACTTTTACTAACTAGTTCTTACAAATAGTTCTGGATATTCAAACTTTATTGTGTGTCTGTGTTTTAAATGTTTTTTCTAATGGAAAATAAAGTTCCTGTTTTATTGCAGTTTTTTTTACAGTTCTAAGTGAATTTAGACAGGGTGGGTCAAAATGACCCGCAACATAACCAATGTGATTTTTTTTCAACATAATACAAGGGTTAAAAATGAAGAGATGCATAAATGGATTTAGGAAAAGGGTCCAAACAAGGATATGTCTGGTGCACATGCTGTCATTTTCTTATTATCTCTTTGAAACAATTTACTTTTGTTACTGAAATACTTGAAATGAGGAATGTGAGTTCTTCTATCATTTTATGATGTTACATGAAAAACATGTCTGAGTTGAAGTGATGAATGTTTCATCCCGTCTGTTTTTAATGAGAAAATGGGAGATCTTAGCCTGTTTTAAAACACAACTCAACTATGAAGCTGACAAAAACGATGAAACGGCAAAGAATTTTGTTGCCTTGAAATAATTTCACCCACATTTTGGATTTGTCTCAAGCTGCTGATTCAACTATTGTTGTACAGAAACACCCAACAGTTCCAACATATGAAGATGTGACAAACAAAATGCAAACAGTTGCCTTTTTTCCAAATGAAAGTTGTTTCTCTTACATGGTAAAAGCAGCCAAAACACTTCCTACACATCTCAGGACAACTTATGCACAGCACGGTGGCAGCACGGGTTCACAACTCTCACTCCTAGTCCGAGGCTGACATCCAGACTCCCTCTGCGGGCAGACTGGTGCCGGTGAGTAGAAACATTACATTAGAAGTGTCTGAGTTGTGAATACATGAATGGGCGGCTGCCTGAGTGGGCATCTGCCAAAAACAGGTCTGTGGTTTATATTGATATAACTTTAGCACTTTACCATGAGGGTCTTTTATTAAGATTACGTACTGCATTATTAAGCACCAATAAACTAGTAATTAAAGTAACAACAACTGCTTAATATAGATGTTAATATTCAGTAATGCATTACTAAGCAGCCCCCCCCCCATCTTAATTTTAAGGACACTTAATAGTTAACAACATCAGTAATGTTAATAAAGGGACTCTTTGTTTATTAATGCTTAATATTGCACTAGGTAATGTTAATAAAGGGATCCTTATTTTACATCCTAATCTTCTATATTTTTATACATTTACAAGACTCCTTTAAAACTCTTGTACTGTAACAAAGTTAGTTAGTTTAACAGTTCAGAAAATCTGCAAATGAAAAACAGTGAATTGATGTTTGGTTAACAGTATTTTACAAAATACTAAACATTTACATTGCTGTAAATTTTTATTACAAAATATGTTAAAATGATCAAAATTGAATAGAAAAAAGTACACATTGATGTATTTAAAACAGCTACAATTTCTGAAAAATGAAGAATGTTCATTTTCATTTTTCAACATGACATATTTGAATTATTACTATGTGGGTATTTTTCTAAAACAGAGACTTTATGACATGTTCAGATTCACAAGTAAGAATTTAAATCAGACATTCATCAAAGACTATTTTTGCATCTTGTGTGCTTTTTACCACACAATCACTGAATTAACTTTAAACAATAAAAACACAAGTTTTTTTTAAATATTTTACATGGTAACTCTGAGCATTTTTGACTTTTTTGTTTTTGGTAAAAATCTAGTTACAATTATGTTTTGTTTGTTTTATTTACTTTTGCCTGTGAGAACAGTTGGGCTGCATTTGACTTTCAAAGCCATTCCATTCAAAATAAGGAGAAACAAGAGAGCAGATGGAAACGCTGTTTAAGAACTTCTCATGGGATTGAAGAAAATGTTCCACCCTGAACCCATGGAGGTTTTTAAAGAGGACAAACCAGACTGGACACCTACAGCCTTATTACCCTCCACCAGAGATGGTGGATTGTGGCATCACCAGATCATCTCCATGCCATGTGTTTCCTTCAGCCCAGCAACTAAACCAGCACAGTGAATGAACCTGTCAGCTGCTGAGCAGAACAAAAACACGGCATAGAGACGACTTGTTGATGCCACAATTCCCATCTGTGCCATCCACTCACCTCTAGCTAACCAAAAATAATAACATTTGTCCAAAGGGTCAGAGCTTCTGCTTGTGGTACCCGTTCCCTTCTCTCAATAGTACATTTGGAGCAGAACAATGAAACATGTTCCTAACATCATGCTGCTAAGGGTGGGGTCTGGATTAAAAAGGCTGGAGCTCTCCATGTGATGTCCAGTCTGGCTAGGTTCACCCTGTGTTTCACTCCCTGACTAAAACATGCAGGAGGCCCAGTTTGACTCCTCATACTCAGGAGAAACAGGGTGGAGTCAATCACTGTTTCCATCATGGGAGAAGAAGTGGAGGTGGTTGAGGAATACAAATACCTTGGGAGTTCAACTGGACTGGAGAAAGCACAGTGAAGCCGTTTATAAGAAGGGACACAGCAGACTGCACTTCTTGAGGACGCTTAGGTCCTTCAATGTCTGTAGCAAGATGCTGCAGATCTTCTACAAGTCTGTTGTTGAGAGTGTAATCTCTTCAGCCATCGTCTGTTGGGGTAGCAGCATCAGAAGCAGGGACCTGAAAAGGCTCAACAGCCTAATAAAA